GGTTCGGATCCCACATACAGACCGGTTCCCGCTCACTGGCTGAGCGAGGTGCGGGCGCAGCGCCAAGGGTTGCGATCCCATTGCCGGTCCCAGTCCGGTACGGGTGCGACACTGAGGGTTGCGATCCGTTGCCGGACACAAAAAAAGACAAAAAGGGAAAAAAAAAAAAAAGATTAGGGCTAGGATTAGGGTTATGTGTGGGCTTCCTTTTAGGGTTAAGCTTAGGCTCAGTGCCCGTGCCTGGCTGAAGATCCATCACTTCTTGTGCTTCTTCTAGCTGCTGACTATTTTTCCCAGTCTTCTTTCTTTGCATGTCTCTTCTCCTTGGTCTTTAAATAGTGGTGTATCTCTTCTCTTACGGTCTCCAGCCCATATACTGCCTTTGTGCGAGTTAGAGAAAGCAACTCTCATTCAAGTTCCTTCACTAACCCCCATCTTCCAGAACATTGTATTAGTATACTATCTTTTTTTCTTTTTTCCCACAGCTGACTGGTTCAGGGATCGAACCCTGGACCTTGGTGTTATAAGCCCCATGCTCTAACCTACTAAGCTAACCAGCCAGCCCAGTACACTGTTTTAAGTTTTAGGAATAATTTATTTACAGCCAGATGCACAGATCTCACCTGTGCAGTCCAATAAGTTTCGATAAATCAAATTCTCAAGTAATCTGCATCTCTCTGAAGACGCAGGATATGCCATTACCTCAGAAAGTTGCCAGTACATCCTCAGAAGCCACCACTGATCTGATTCCTATCAGTATAGATTGGTTTTACCTGTTCTAGAACCTAATATAAATGAAATCATACATGATAATACTCTTTGATGTAAGGCTTCTTTTAAATGGCATAATGCTTTTCAGATTTATTCACATTGTGTTCTACAGACTTTTTTAGTGCAAGGCTTCTATTTTGATTTTTTTAATACCAGGTACTTTTTCACTATCTGCCCAAAGCCTGCCACAATAAATGTACGACTCTACCCTGTCTTCAGTGTTAGCTGTGACCTCGGTTCTCCTACAACAGGCTCTGCTGAACAATCTAAGTCTTAGATGATTTCTACACTTAAATTTGCTTTGATTAGATAAAAAGGGTACCCATAGGGCCGGCCCGGTGGCGTATTCGGTAGAGTGCAGTGCTTGGGAGCGCAGTGGCGCTCTCGCCGAGGGTTCGGATCCCATATAGAGACCGGTCCGCTCACTGGTTGAGCGCG